CAGAAGTCACACTTGCCATTCCCAATTTCCACCTCTCCGCGGGGACCGGGAGGTCTTGCAGGCTGTGCCGAGCGTGTGTCGGGGCGGGGGTGGGGGGACCGTCCTTTTCCAGGCGCCCCTTACTAAGTCGCGAAAGTGGCCCTTTGGGGACCCGGTTCGCGCTCCGAAGTCGCTTACACAGCCACCACTGTCCTGTTAAGGGAGTGTCCGTGATCAGAGCCCTGGGGCCCTCCTGGCAGCCTGCCGCGGGCTGGTGGGGTCCGTCGACAAACCCATTGTGGAAGGGGGTGCGTTTTATTCTCGCCTCAAAATCACCCTCTGGTTTCACATGTCTGACGCCAATTTTTCTGCCTTAAACTGTGTGAATGATTCGTGGCTTGGAGGTGAGGTTGTCTTTCACACTTATTCTCTTTTGTGTGTCTAGGAGGGAGGGGAGGAGAGAGGGAGCCAGGGGTCTTCTGCTGTGCGTGTGTTTTAACCCCTGGAGTGAAAAGATGGAGTTCTCCAGTGAACAAAGAAACAAACTAACAAGTCAGAATAAGCAGATCATTCCTTCCTCTCCCGGTTTTTAATGCAGGGTTTCTGCCTCTACTAGGCGGGTAGATACGAAGTAAAAAGAGAGCTTGAATTTTGCTGCATCAAAGCATCCTGCTAGTTGCTATCTGTCCTTTTTTTCTAATGGTCATATCAGGAAATGGCCTATACTCCACATGACATTATAAGGATGTGGCATGGTTGTAAACTGAGAGAATGACATTGAGCTAAGAGCAAAGGGATTAATGGAACCATCAATACACAAATGAAAGTGCCTTTAATAGCTATAAGAAATCTGAGCTGCATCTGCAGTATCTCAGGTTGATATTTTATAAACTCCTTTATATTTAGACTACTTGTAATCAACCTACATTTTTATTTATTAGAAGTCTCCTATTTAAAAATCATGTGCAAACCTACATTTCTAATATATATATATATATATATATGCTGTGTCAACTGGGATGGGTATGGTGACAAGGGAATTATTTAAAAAATACTTCAATAGAAGGGCAAACATTAAGGTATACATTTGATGAAGATATTCATTGTCAAGCTGTCTATAACTTTCATTACGTGTTTTTAAACTTAAGTCTGGACACATGATCAGATAATAATGAGCATGTTGATAAAAACAGAGTAGAAGAATACTTGAAACCAGAATTGTTTCAGAATCTTTGAAATGGATGCCTGATGTTCATAAAAGAACCATATGCTCAACTATCTGTGGTAGCCTCCAGCGATGTGTACCTCTTGGTATTTTCCCTTGGTATGTGCCCTTGTGTAGATTTCTTCCATACTGAATGAGGCAAACTGGTCTCACTGACAAATAGAATACAGTGGTAGTCATGATATGTGACTTTCAAGGTTAGGTCATAAAAGACATTGTAACTTCTGCCTTGATTTCTTGGAGGCCTTGCTCTGGAGAAGGCTGGCTGCCATGTTGTAAGGATGCTCAAGCAGCTCCATGAAAAGCCCACATGGAGAGGAAATTGCCAGCCAAGTGGATGAGCCACCTTTTAACGTATCCTGCAGCCCTAGTCAAGCCTCCAGATACCAGTAACCTCAGCCAACATCTGAAAGCAACCCCATGAAAAAGCAAGAGCCAGAACATCTCAGCTGAGCCACTCCCAAATCCCTGATCTGCAGAAACTAAGAAATAATGAATAATCGAGGCATTTAAAGCCATTTAACTTTGGAGTGATTTGTTATGTGGCAACAGATGACTAATAAAAACTGCATATTCATGTGATAAATGAAATATTATCTAGTTATCAAAAATAAGATACTGTTTACAACTTTCCTTCTCCATGCATTCATTCTGTCAGTAAGACAATAGCTAAAACAATATCAGGAATCACACCATGTCCTGCCATCACTATTGCCACTGCCTATTCTAAGTCACCATTCCAGTTTTTGTTATCTGGACTAAAACAATCTTTTACTTAGTCCCTACTTTGACTCTTGCTTCCCTGACATCTATTTCACAAGAGCCAGAGTGGTCTTTATGTTAATAAAACATAAATAAGATAACATCACCTTCTCCTGCTTAACCTCTGCAAAAGTTTCTAATTGCACAAGGAATAAATAATCTGGCCTTTGCCTGCCTTTCTCAGCCCTCTATCTTACTCTCTGTCTCATTCATAATCCTCAGTGATGAGCTTAACTCATTTTCCTGGGTTCAAAGAAGCTAAGCTGTTGTTTTTGCTGTTCCCTCCACATGGAACCCTCGTACCCCAGATTGTTACATGTCTGGCTCAGATTATAGATCACCTGCTTATTAACATTTACTTGCTCACTGTCTTTTCAAACACACACACACACACACACACACACACACACACACCCCACTGGTAAGTCCCTGAACACTGGAAATTCTCTGCTCTATTTCTTGCACTTTGAACAGTGTCTGGCATGTAGTATATGACTAATTTTGTGGAATGAATGGGTGCTGTATGTCAAAATATACATAAATAAAAGCAAGACCTAAGAAAAGAACATATAAATGAAGATAACTGGGTTTAAATGGAGAAAATGAGATATTTTTTCCTTTTAAATTTGTTGTTAATGTCATGGTTACATTATTTTAAAACCCTCCATGTACAAATGATTATCTATGTTGAAGCAGAATAAAAAGTCTGGCAAAAACTACCAATAGTTACTTTCTGAGGCTGCTGAAGGTATTTTTATTCCCAGGTTGCTTTACCTTTTGGCTTTATAGTTCTTATTTAAGACTCTTCACTGAGAATTTTCTAGAGGACCTTACACTGAAAATGGTCCTTGCCAAGAGCTTGTATAATTCACTGCACACCTAACAGAAAAACCTCCTGGATTCTCCACTGGGAGCCCCTTTCAAATGAATCGCTGCTGAACTGGAATCATTTCTGAAAACTCACACTCTGTCCTCAAGGGAGAAAGAAGAAATTCTCAATCCTTCTCATGTTTATGAAACGTTCTGGCAGATATTAAACCTTTGCCATTCCAGAAACGTTTATTACTATGCCCACTAAATCCAAGGCACTTTATAGAGTATTGTAGAAGGAAAGGAAGACACCTTTTATTCAGTCAATCCTTATCTCCCCCCTCCCAAAATTATTTGAAATAACTTACAAGAAGACAAGCAAGAAGCAGGAGATAGAGAAAGAAGAAGATTTTTTTAAAGAGGAGGAGGAGGAAAATGAGGGAAAGAAACAGATGAGGATAAGTAAAATGTCAACAGAACGAGAAAATTCCGACCAGGTAGAGGAATAACACTGTGAGAACCAGCATCTTGAAAGTTGATGATCCTTGAAGATAAATTTCAAATTCATCTCTGTTTATAGACCTGTTTCCTGACTTCCAAAAGCTTATAATTTAAGCAAAGGGATTAAGATATGGACATAAATCGTCAAAGGAATGAATGAAAAGTTTGAGCATCCTAAGTAATTACAATGGTGTGTGTGGCTCTTGAATGATACAGGACTGCCTTTTAAGAGTTCTGATTATTATGTGAAAACTCTCTGACCACTGTCACAAAATACACTGATGAGAACATACTTGATGCCAGAGGCATGCCTCAGAAGATGGACTGCAAAGGCAGGGAGGGGATGAGTCAAGAGTGTGGACTACGAAGCTAGACTGTGAGGTCTGAAGCCCAGCCCTGCCATTCAGACCAGCTCTGAGACCCACAGCAGAGTAACTCTAGAATGCAGGATGGACACTCCATTCTTACTTCTCTGTTCTTTCCACAACAAGATTGGAACTGATTATTGAATACTCTTGACTTTCTAGGCATCCTGAAGGCACTTTAATCTATGGAGAAGTTATTCATTCAATAAATATGCACCGTGCCTCTACTATGGCAGGAACTATGCTAGACACTGAGGATAAAATAGTGGGCAACAGAGACCCGATTCTCATGCTTCTGAGGACCCTACTGTAGTGGGAGAGGCAACCTGTGATCCAATTATCACACAAATAGATAATGTCTAGTGACAAGTATGAAAAAGTCTACAAAGTCTTATGAGCATATTTAATAGAAGAACTTGACCCACCAGAAGAGGTCAGCAAAGGGTTCCCTTAGGGAATGACACTTAAGCCTAAATCTGAAGGGTAAATAGGAACTGGCTGGGCAAGGTTGAGAGAAGGAAAGAAAAGATGAGTGCTCCAGACAGGGTAATCAGCCAGACCCTGCAGCAGGTGGGAGAACCGGAAGACCAGGTTGGCTGGAGCACCGGAAGTGAGGGGCAGGTGGATACACAGAGGATGAAGCCAGAGAAGTAGGCAGGGTTCAGGTCTATGCAGGCCTTGAAAGATCACATGAGAGAGTTTGGTTTTTATATTTAAAAGAAATAGGGGCCGGGCGTGGTGGCTCACGCCTGTAATCCTAGCACTCTGGGAGGCCGAGGCGGGAGGATTGCTCAAGGTCAGGAGTTCAAGACCAGCCTGAGCAAGAGTGAGAACCCCATCTCTAGTAAAAATAGAAAGAAATTAGCTGGACAACTAAAAATATATAGAAAAAATTAGCCGGGCATGGTGGCGCATGTCTGTAGTCCCAGCTACTCTGGAGGCTGACGCAGGAGGACTGCTTAAGCCCAGGAGTTTGAGGTTGCTGTAAGCTAGATGCCACGGCAATCTAGCCCACTTGCTTTTCAAAGATTAGCCTGCTGTGCTGATTGAAGAAGACCAAGCGTAGGCACCGGTGGCAGTGCACACGGAGGTGTGGATGGATTCGAGACATGGAGGTAGGAACCGCTAGGATATGGTGACAGATGAGACCAGAAGGTGTGAGGAGAAGAAATGGGAGGAAGATGACATGCAAGGTGTCTGCTTTATAGAATCAGATGATTGGGGAGTAGGGTCATTGACTGGAAGGGGGAATAACTGAAAAAGGACTGGGTTTTTTTGGGGGGGGGCAGAGAGAAAAGGGGGGTGGACAACAGTACAGAATTTGGGGAAATTTTTTTACAAACTCCAAACTCATTTAATTTAGGTTTTTCAGTATTTTATTATGGCACACAGGATAGAGTATGGTACAGTGTTCTTACTTAACCAAGAAATTCTCAAACCAACCAGCTGTTCCCATTTAACTGAAGTTACTTTGTAGATGAAGTTTGCATCTGCCCGAAATTCACCATGTGTATCATCTCACATCCAATTAGCATAAATGTGAAAAGCCTGGTTCTGAGACTCTTAATCTTTACAGAAGCTGATATGCTCAGAGCCTTCATAGTTCAAATCCATATCTTCATGGCAGATAAAGAAATATTTTACCTATTTGCACGGTAACATATATTTAACTAGAAATAGGTGGTGCAAAGGGAACAAATAACTTTAAATGGAGACCACTTTGGTTTCAGGTTAAATTCATAACTTAAATATATCATCTAAAAATCAAATATTGAACAAAGTCAGCTGACAAGACAATTGTTTAAGAACAGAAGCAGAGTAGCAGCAGATAGTCAATAATGTCATCTACATTCCCCATCAAATGCAATTGCGAGAGCATCCGTAACTTCACGTGGACAGGGAGGACAGATGGGGTGTGTATTTGATGCAATGTCCAACCAGTTAAGCTATCACTGAAATCCAAATATTTCCCAATAAAGACATGCAGAGCAATGCCAATATAACATACAAGTATATTATCTCCCCCCTTAAGTGACTGATAATAATTTCATTACCTGTGTCTGTAGTTTTGTAAAAAGGTTTAAAATGTGTGGCATTAAATGCTATTTACTTGAGACAACAGAATTAAGCGAACAACGCACTGAATCATGAGCTCAGGATCACAGGCAACATGTTTGCAGGGGAGTGACAAACAACTTTTGATAGTCTTGACTCTCTCCTCCCAAAGTTATACATTGGCAAAAAAATTTCTTCTTCCTGATTCTATCATGTGCTCAGGTTTCAACCTTTGCCCATGATATTTAGACTATATTTTAAAATGTGGTTTTAGAGAGGTGTGAGATTTATATCCTATTCATATTGTATTATCATTACATACTAGTTTGAACCAACTTATTTACTATAAAGGGTGTATCTGTCAGATATTTTCAGACTTGCTTCCTATAAAGCTGTCCTGCAACCTAATATTATATATTTTATGGGGCAAAATATCTTGTTACTTATAGACTTTCTCATCTACTCATGTTTATGATCCATAACATTTTTGAAGGGAAAGATTTCATGAATAGTCATGACCTCACTGTATCCCTCAGAATTTCCAATTAAGGGGGGGGGGGAAGTAATTGTTAAAATCTTGCCTTTTAAAAAAATTAGAGGTCAACAGATCACTTGTATATAGTTTAGACTTGTGCCCTCTTTAGGGTATTTTAATTAAGTCAACAACCACAGCAAGAAAGATGTCAGTCAGTGTAACTTTATTTACTATTTATTGCACATCACTTGAGGTCTTTTAATGTTTAACCACCGAAGGCTCAAAGGACTATTTCTCCATGAAGTTTAACATTAGTGAATTCATTGATTCGTGGTGTGTGTGTGTGTGTGTGTGTGTGTGTGTGTGTGTGTGTGTGTTTTATTTGTAAACATCTGAATGATTCACATTGCCATAGATCCTGAACTCATAAGCGTGGACCATGCACAGGCTGGCAGCAAGCCAGAAAGCCACTCCGCAAGCAAACAGATACTCTGCATAAAGAGAAAAGTCATAGCACAACGTTGAATGTCCAACCTAAGTCATCTCAGAATTATACATAGATTGACTTTTTAATTCACAGAGGATCTGGAACTCAACTGGTTGGTTGGTGATGGGGGTTGACCTGATTTCGGGAGAATTATTCCTGGCATCATTAAAGAAAAGGGGAGCAGGGTGGGGGCTCAATCTTTCTTCTTAGTTGCCTGTTCCTCCCCAGCACCTTCAACTTTTTTCTCATCCTCCTCAGCTTCTTTGGTCTCTTCTCCTTCTTCACCTTCACCTCCTTCTTCTTCTTCCTTCGCATCTTCAGATTCTTCCTGGGCAGCTTTAACATATAAAGAAAATTGACAAGATCCAGATGCAGGGTAAGTGCAGTCAAAACATTTCTGCAAAGGTTTTATGGGAAAACACAACTGTCGGGATGCTCACCAGCAACCTCTCAACGCCACTCCCCAAAAGCACCTGTCGCAGACAATGCTTGTCACGAATCCTTTGCCACTGAATGCATATTTAAACTGAATGAGAGTATGCATGTCTAAGTCTAGGTGCTGGAAGGTCTGTCCCTCTCCAAGACCTAACCTCAGTATTTCTTATGTGTTTAATATTCATCTTTGTAGGATACCAACTGCTGTGATCAATGAATGCATTAAAAAATGAAATTTTTGAGCAATCCCTCAGGTGCCTACTATAAAGGTTTGCTACATAAACATATGTATTATTTATTTAAGATTCTAAAATCATATATGAATAAAGCCTCCCTAGCATAAGCAAGACTTCATTTATCTTACCCACTTCTTAAATAGCCACACCCAGTGTGCACTTGAAGTTGCAGGGGTTTGTTTTTGATCATACCTCCTTCTTCCTCTTCGGCTCCCTCTTCTTCTCCAGCCTCCTCCTTGTCCTTCTCCTCCTCTTCTGCTTCTCCTTCAGACGGGGGTTCGTCCTTGGCTTCCTCTGCTTTGGCAGCCTCAATGGTCTCCTCCACCTCGATCTGCTCCTCCTGGACGTGGCTGGTGTAGTAGGCCGGGAAGGAGCGGGCAGACATCAAGTAGGAGCTGGTCTGTAAACCGCCGTAGGCAGATCGGCCAAAGACCTGGGAGCTCTGGGAGTAGCCACTGGTGAGGCTTCCCACGCTGGTGAAACTCAGCCGGGTCTCCTCGCCTTCCAGAAGTTTCCTGGGGAGGGCGGTGGAGATGGTGGAGGGTGGGATTAGAAAACAGGAGCAGGAAGTGTGTTTAATGACTTGCTCTGAGCCCAGCACTCACCCATTCCCCCTAATGCCCACAGGAACAAGACTGGGAATTATAAAAATTAGTGACGGGATTTTGTGACTGTGACCAGAAAAAAAAATAATAATGAACAGGCCTAATAGATTTAAAATATAATGGGAAGCTAAGAACAAGACTCATTATTACAGTGTTACATGCTTAGGTATTTGTCTAAGTACCTTCTTTTTGGGAGAAGCCAAAAAAACTAATGCTTCATTATTTCAAATAACTATGACGGTTTCTGATCCAACATACTTTTAAATGGAATCTGATTTTCTTCCTAAGACTTAATGGCAGCTACCTTTGCCCCTGTTTTCACCTGTAAGCTGCAATCTCAATGTCCAAAGCCATCTTCACGTTCAGGAGGTCTTGGTATTCCTTTAGGTATCGTGCCATTTCACTCTTTGTGGTTCTCAATTCATTTTCTAATTTGTTGATTGTGTCCTGTTGGAAGACCAAAAAAAAAAAAAAAGAAAAAGAAAGAAAGAAATGCTATCATTTTACTGTAGTACAGTTGCAAAGGCCTATTGTCAATTAAAATCAAAGTGTATACCTTTCATAAAATCTCTCCTAAAACAATTGCCTGTTCTTTTTAAAACCCTTTCTTGGTTAAAAATAGCCAGCTTCATGAAGCTTGAGATGAAAAAAAAAAAAAAAACTGATGAAAGAAAATTCTTTTTTTTTTCTATTTCTTTACTTAATACAGTCTGATGATCATCATAAAAATTAAAAAACTAAATTGATAGAAAAATTTTGTTTCTCCCTCACTGATTAATTCTTTCCTTTATGGGAGAAGAAAATAGCTGAATTTTAAAAATTATATTCTCTAAAATATTTCCGTTGTATCTAAATTATTTTTTCTACTCCCCAGAAGATGGAGATCCTCTAAATAGAAAGTTTACCTTGAACTTAACTATGTAAAACAATTTTGACTGTATTCCTGTCTACCTGCTAAGGGGAGGGAGTAGTTGGTAAAACTAATCATAAAGCATGCCGGTCACAGTAATCTTTGAGAACTGATTGAGAGTGTTTCGCTATAGTATTTATTAACCAGACAATCCAATAGGTGCTGCAAAGTAATTTGTGGTTAATGAAAGTCAATAAAGAGTGGATGTCACTGCAGGCCAGAGGCAACGCCCAACTCTCTCTTCTTCCCCTCCCCCACCCAGCCCCCAGGCAGGGCTGGGCAGCTTCCATGCGCAAGGCAGATTCAACAGCACTTAGCAGTGCAAACCCAGACTGCAGTCCGAGTGCCCCACCCTCGCCCTCCAAGTGCCCCACCCCTACCACGCAGACTTTAGGGAGCCAAGTCCTACCCCTAATGGCTGCATGCACCTGCCTCAACCCTGGTCTCCACTTTCTGGGCACACCCTCACTTCCCCACCCCCTTGTGGCACCCCCCCTCCCGCCCCATGTGTTTCGGATGGCGCCCCACCTGCATAGCACTGATGTCGGCATTCTGCTTGTCCTCCAGCTCCTGCAGCTGCTTCTCCAGCGCTTCGTTCATGCCCCGGCATGCTTCGATCTCCAGGGTCTTGGCCTTGAGCAGGCGGCGGCTCTCGGACACCTCGTCCTTGGCGGCGCGCACGGCGTCGGTGTTCTTGGCGGCGCTCTCGGTCAGCACGGTGAAGCGGCTCTTGAACCACTCTTCGGCATTCTGCATGTTCTTGGCGGCCAGCTTCTCGTACTGCGCGCGGATGTCCTTGAGCGCGGCAGAGAGGTCGGGCTTGGTGGACACGTCCATCTCCACGGAGATCTGCGCGTACTGGATCTGCGCCTGCAGCTCGGCGATCTCCTCTTCGTGCACCTTCTTCAGGAAGGCGATTTCGTCCATCAGGCTGTCGATGCGCTTCTCCAGCTCGGCGCGGGCCAGCGCAGCCTCGTCTGCGCCTTTGCGCGCCTCCATCAGCCGGCCCTCGGCGTCCTCGCGGCTCAGCACCTCCTCCTCATAGCGCGCCTGCAGGTTGCGCAGCGTCTCCTCCAGCCCCTCGCGCTCGCCCTGCAGCGCCTGCTTCTCGTTGGTGGCGTCTTCCGCCGCCAGGCGCAGGTCGCGGATCTCCTGCTCGTACAGCGCCCGGAAGCGGGACGGCTCGGAGTGCTTCTGGCGCAGCACCAGCAGCTCGGCCTCCAGGACCTTGTTCTGCTGCTCCAGCTCGTGCACGCGCTCGATGAAGCTGGCGAAGCGGTCGTTGAGGTCCTGGAGCTGCGCCTTCTCCTGCGTGCGGATCGACTTGAGGTCGTTGCTGATGGCGGCTACCTGGCTCAGGTCGAGGTTCTCCAGGCTGGGCATCAAGGAGCCCGAGCTGGACGAGTAGCTGCGGCGCACGGACAGCGAGGAGGACACGGGCGCCGAGTAGCTGGAGTAAGCGGAGCGCGCGGTGCTGTAGCCGCTGCGCACGCTGGAGATGTGCACCCGGGGCGTCTCCACGTAGCGCCGCTTGTAGGAGGTCGAGTAGTACGGCTCGTAGCTGAAGGAACTCATGGTGGCGGCCGGTGCCTCCCCGGCCGCGGCGGCGCTGGGGGCCTGGAGAGAGAAGGACGGGGGAGAGAGGGGAAGGGGAGGATGGATGGCTGTGTGCGGCTCGGCGCGGTCCTGCCACCCCTATTTATACGCCGCGAGGATTCTGACGCAGTGTGCGATCGATCACGGCGCGCCGGCCAGTGGGGGCAGCGCGCTGCCGCAGCCCGGCCAGGATTCTGCGCAAAAGGGAAGGCGGGGGCGAGCGACAGGCGGCTGGGGAGCTGCGGCGCCCTTCCTGCTTTTATTCTGAGGCCCTCGATTTTTCTCTGAGACCCCACACCCCTCCCTCAGTTCTCAGTTTCTGTACCCACCCACCCACGCACTCCCATCCTTGCTTATACCTAGACCTTGTGTCACTTACCTTAAGTGTCCCCAATAAACAGGTCCTCTCTCCCTACTGACACCCTAGTTTTCTATGTTCTGGTGCCTCGCAGGCACCCTGTCCCCCAACTCTCCCCTTCCCCACCAGGGACCGCCTTGATTCATTCCTTTTGGTGTCTGTGGTGACGGTGCAGCGAGGGCATTTGACATGGAAATAATAGGTTAACTTGCGTGTATGCCGCATAGGTGGAGAAGAGTTTCACATTACTTTGCAGCCTTTTCTGGCACTTTCTTTATCTCCTTTTCTTTTTCTTTAATGTGCTGCTTCTCAACACACAGGGGATGTGCGTGCACACCCTCCACCCCAGCCACACACACACACACACACACACACACACACACACACACACACACGCTGCGGCACTGCAGGTGTGTGTTTAGCATTTCTAAACCTTTAGAGCACTTAATCAGCTTGTCTGTGTTCCCAGCTTTTCTCTTTGTTTCTTTTCTGGGAATGGAACCTCGAATGCTTTCAGCGCGTTGCAGGGCGTGGGAGGAGAACAGACCGACTGGCTAAGGCGGCCGCGCGCTCCGCAGCTGCGGGGACCTTGGAGCCCACCAAGCCGGATTCCTGCCTGACACCACCAACGCCAGCATATTAAACAGCCCCCTTCCCTCTTTTTACACCTGTGTAGCACCCAACCTGATGATTCGGACAGGCCGTGCAGGTGGCTGACTTTCGGGGAAGCCAAGCCGCTGCGGCAGCCCCGGGCGCCGGGTGTGGTCTCGGGGAGAACTCGCTTCGACTTCTAGTTCAGGAGCGGATAGAAAACAGCAGTGAGATTCTCCCCCCGATTCACCATAACAAGTAGATAACAGATGCAGTCAGGAATCCATGGGCTCCCTTTAGGAAGCACCCGGACACCCGAGACTGTGCGCGCACTGGCACAGCCCTGCGGTTCACCGAGCATCCTCCGGTTTCGTGGAGGGATTGCAGAGATGAAAGTTAAAATACCTAAGAATTTTCTAAGCAAGCATTCAGTTTTTGTTTTATTTCTATATCAACTTACTGATTTTTTTTCAAGAGGCAAAGTAAGGGGAAAACATGTGAACAGTTTTCAAACAGAGGAGCCGAGCGGCTTCCCGTGCGATCCTCAGAGGGCGGAGCGCGTGGAGCCACCACGGTCGCCTCCGGAGGTGCCGCCGCCTCTCCCGGGAAGAGAGTGGGTGAGGTTCCTCCTCCGAGGTCCTTTCAGACCCTAAAACCCCGGGATTATGATCCCTGCCCCCCGCCCCTTCATGGTAGAGAGCAAGACTGCAGCAGAGAACTTTCATCGGATTTCTAAATCTCTATTGTCTCAAATAAGGCCGATTCAGAAACACTGATGTTGGTAGTTTAAATCTATCAAGACCTAGTGATCTCAGAGGTCCGTCCGTGCCCAGACGTTCTAGGATTTTCAAGCCCGAAGGTCATTAGGCTGTCCTGAATATAGTCTGGCCCTGGCGGATGTGGTAGGGTACTTACTGGGGTGAATTTTTACAGCCTGCACATTCTTGGTTTTCTCATCTGTCAGATGCAAGAGTGGGAGAAAGGCTTCTGGGGGGGTGGGGTTGGGGAGCGAGAATCCTGAATAAGCCATGTGTTTATCTCCTCCCAGGTACCCATACGTGATGGAAAGTGGCAGAACAGATGGTTTTGTTAACCTGCTGCACATCGACCACATCGTTTCCCACTCAGTGTGTGAGTCTGCGTACACCCCACTCTCGGGTATTCACGAATTCATTTCCTCTGTGCCAGCCCCCTTCCCGGGGAGTTTCAGGTCACCCTCAAGAGATCTTAAGGCCATCAGCGTTTCTTTTCTTTTCTTCTTCTTTCCATAGCTCCTCACTGAAGCCTTTGACTGCAGAGGAGGCTGCCCAGAAAGGAGAGGGGCGCCAGGAGCCTGGACGAGAAACCAGTGAGGCACGTGGGGCTGTCCTTTGGATAGCAGAAAAAGGAGGCACGAGGGAGGGAAGGGTGCGGACTGGGAGGGCAGAGGGCCCCTTTCTGTGCTGAACCTGGGGTGGAGTGGGGGAGGGGCGGGACAACCTTGTTTATCACCGCAGCTCTGTGGTGTTTGTGAAAAGCTCCTGGCATGGCCACCTCATGCTGCACGACAGCCTTACTTTAGGGCACCTGAGCCCAGCCTGGGTCTGAGTTTGGTTTTGGTTACCTCCACCGTCAGCCTTCCTCTGCTAGCTGCCTGCTGCTTCTTTAATATTCTGTCCAGTCATCCTCCTTTTTAAACCTTCCTCCCAGCATTTTGCTCTGAAAACCCATGTGTCATTTGCTCTGGGTGTCAAAGCAAAGGTAAAGTGAGCAACTTTAGAAACATCTATTTAGGAAAAAAAAACAAAAAACAAATCCTTTTCCTTTCCCCTCCCCATATATGTTTCTGCATTAGTGTTGTTTGAAGTAGTATCATTGTCTCTTTAGAAGGAAGCTTTTGAGTCTTGTTATACACTTGTGCATTTATTTCCTTTTAAGCCTCTTCTGCACAAACATGAAATTGGTTAAAGGCTGCCAACAAAACACACTCCTTGGAGATTAAAAAAATAAGTATTAAAAAACAAATATAGGCCTGGCGCGGTGGCTCACGCCTGTAATCCTAGCACTTTGGGAGGCGGAGGCGGGCGGATTGCTCAAGGTCAGGAGTTCGAAACCAGCCTGAGCGAGACTCCGTCTCTACCAAAAATAGAAAGAAATTAATTGACCAACTAAAAATATATATACAAAAAATTAGCCGGGCATGGTGGCACATGCCTGTAGTCCCAGCTACTCGGGAGGCTGAGGCAGGAGGATCGCTTGAGCCCAGGAGTTTGAGGTTGCTGTGAGCCAGGCTGATGCCACGGCACTCACTCTAGCCTGGGCAACAAAGTGAGACTCTGTCTCAAAAAAAACAAATATAGAGGTATGCTGATGAACCTCTGTAATAGAATTCCTGCCACTCTGGTTATTCCTAATACCTCTGTGTTCCTCTAAAAGACTGAGGTAATTTAGTTAAAGAGTAAATATATTACCATAAAACACCTAAGGTATAACTCTTTTAGAACCACTGAAAATGTTTTACTTCTTCAGTGCCAACAGAGTCCAAAAGCTTTAGCCTTATGGGACCTGATGGCTGGCGACTTTTCATTTCATTATTTTAAAACCCTTTGGCACAGCGGGAAGTTCTGTGCTGGCATTTGTTTTGAAGAGCTCAGCTTTAAGCTGAAGTTCTTCCAAGGCAGGGCCCATGAAAAGCCTCCTTCCAGGGGCCAGGAGAGCCACAGTCTCCTGCCACCAATAAGCTGTGGCAGTAGTCCTAGACCAACACAGCAGATGGGACTCCATCCATCTCACCACCAGGTAGATACATTAGTGTCATAAAAGTTGGCATCCGTATGTTGATGCAAGGCAATAAACACATGCAGGACACCTACATAGGACAGGCACTTGCTCTCAGTTGTTTAATAATGACAAATTTCCCTAGAGATGGCCATTACTAGTCCAAGCAAACAGCTGAGGCCCAGAGATATTAAGTAATTTTCCAAGTCACACAGCTACTTCTAACCTAAGCTCTATCTGCTTCCAGACCGAGGATGCTCTACTCATTGCACATCCTGCAGCCATTGTCCTTTGCCACTTCCCTATGTCTCTGCAGAATTTGATCATTGAATGCCACAGTGTATATGTAATAAACCTCTCCTGCTTGGGGGACACCAGTACGAACTGATCTGCACCATGAGTATAAACTGTTAATGAGTGTGTTCCTTTTTTAGATAGCTAGTGTTTGCAACAAACTACGTGGTTGTTGTAGGTTTCTCAAATATCCCATTGTAAAATCAAATGGGTGCTACCAGTGGACCATGGCACGTAACTGGTGCTGTAACTTTTTAGACACAACTGTTTAGTTTACATCCATTTACAAAACACTTTTTCGGGAATTAATAAGTAAAAATGCAGCTTAGCTGATGGAAACTCTTTAACCACACCATAACTTCCACTTTTCTCTAATTAAAATATCTTCAGTTTTCTGCCCTTGCAAATGGGGTTTCTTTGAAAAAGTGACCTTAAAAATTGCTTCAAGGAATAAAAGAAAAATGCTGACACATAACACCTCATTATTGGAGTTGATCATGCTTTCCACAAGTCTTTAACTTTTTCAAAAGAAACATAAATAAAGTCAGTGGAAATGTATAGTTGGTTGAAGCCACAAATATCTTTCCTTTCTATTTCTTGTAGTCAGTTTACTTCTTTGCATGTCATGCTCACCACTGGAGTCATAGTACAGCCCCCCCCCTTCTCTTGGGAAATACGTTTAAGGGAAAAACTTTTCCCATTTTAATATGAACTATGCCTAATTTCACAGCACTGCATTTCGAAGTGATGCACCATAAAGTGTGCTTTGCAGCTATATAAAATTTAGATTGCAACAGGAACAAGAATGTCATTTGAATAGATTAAAGATGGGAAGCACGTTTATATTCAAGGCACGTGCAGTATTAGAAATGACAGGAAAACTTACTGCTGTCCAAGCAGAAATGATGGTGATAGGTTCAAACTCCTAAATGCTTGCTCGATGGAACTAGCCGAGGGGATGAATTTTCTCCCCGGAGGCCTGCTCTACCGTGCCTGGCCCTTAATGACAGTCACCAGACTCGGAGGTAAGAGGGTGTGCTGGGGACAGCCATTCCAGGCAGGCCACAGGGATATCGGTCAGAGCCAGCAATGCTAACCCTGTCTGTTCAGTTGTGCTTTCCTGACTGCAAAGCAATACATGCTGCTTTTGCAACTTGGGTAATAACCAGCCACAAAATATTCCATGCGGCACCTGGATTTCATTGCTGACCTCTACGTTGGTTTAATAAATCAATGGGAGGAATGTGAGGTTTCATGTTTGCAAAGATAGAGGAT